AGAGAGAGAGAGAGAGAGAGAGAGAGAGAGAGAGAGAGAGAGAGTGTGTGTGTGTGTGTGTGACCTGCCTTTGGGTACCAAAATTTTGACCTCTTGACCTTTGGAGGTTGACATGTATTTAGAAATAATAACCTTGACAATGACCTGTCACATGGGGCCACCAGTGTTTCACAAACACTATTTTTCTTTGCCTCCTCATACATAATTTGTCCTCAGCTGGTTTAAGTGAGATATGCTTGACCAAATTTAAAGTCAGAAGATCTCCAATGATAATGTAAAATCACTGACAAGTATTTTTTTTAAAAGCATTTTCAGACAATTTCAACCAATCTTGCAAAATTTCATATTGCCCTGTGTGAATGGCTATGGCTCCTGGATTTATAGGGTTACAAACATCTGATTTTGTACGCTAACAATGTTACACATAGGCTTTTACATTAGAAATACATTGGAAATTTCGTGATAAGTATAAAATTTAAATTGTCAATTCTTTCTCTTTCTATAGCCTCTGAGTTTTAGTGAACCGTTACATACATTGAACGTGGCCAGCAGGTTGGTGAGACATTCAAGGTCCGATACAGTTACACTAGTGTGACCTTGGATGGCTACACTGATCCGTCCAGCCTTGACCGGTTCTGTCTGGGTCAGCTGTCTAAAGTCCACCGCACAGAAACTAGTGACAAAGCCAGATAATTATGGGAAACCACTAGGTGCAGTCAGATCGAGATCAGTCAGCATGATTTACAGCATAGAACTTAATAACAGTAGTTGCCTAACGAAATATTATGAATTTATTAGGAAATATTGTAATCTAGATAGGTGCTTAATTGATGTGAAATTTGTATGACAAATATTTACTCATAGACTTTGTACTCCTTTCATTTAATACTTAGCTCACCTCATCCGAATGTAAATCAGAGGATTTCTGATTTAAAAGTGTCCTGGATCTTTCAATTGTTTGCAGTGCACATTTCTGTCCTCGAGAAAGACTGAAGTATTTCAATGACCTTCAAGGCACTGCACACTAACAAGTTCTAATTCTATGGTATTTTGTTCAGCAAGAATGATCTGCACTTAGATCTGAAATATAAAAAAATTAAAATCTACAGTACTTTTATATTATTTTTTTTACTCAATTGGGCCAGAACAAAGCTGCAAGTAGAGCTTGAATTCTTGCACAAAAATTATAAACTTTGCCAGTTCAGTTTGTAACATGACAAAGCCTAAATATACTGAAAATTAGTGTTGCTGAAATCTAAAAAAAAGTTTTCAGTATAAGTTTGTATTTGCTATAAAGAGCTAGGTTCACTTTACGCATAAAATGGCCCTGTACTTATATCAATTAATTGACTTTCACCCTCAGTCCCATTTCATATATCAAAATAAAGTAGAGACTTAGTGCTCTCCTTTCCTATAGCAAAATTTCTTTTTGAGAATCCAGGTATTGGAAAGCAGACTTTGTGAAAATGCAATGTTCTTGAACTTTGCAGAAAACAGGCGTATTTGACTAACTTCAGCAAATAATTAAAATATGAGCACAGCCCTCGATCCAAAAATTAAAACATGTTTTATGATCTTCGGAAACAGAACTTTCATAATGTTATTGCATATTTTGGATCAGAGGTTGTGCTCTGTATGAAATATTAAAAAAATAACTTTTGGCTATTTTTAAAGGAATTTATAGGATATGGTAAAAATGACGCATTTCATGACGTCATTATACATTGACTAGAGAGGAAATTACGTCATGTTCAGTAGAAACCTGGTCACAAAGGGTCCAAGTGATGAATACTGCATTGTCAGCCAAAATTGAGCAGTTTCGATTTTTCAAAAATTTACAGGGCCAAAAAAAAAGGCCCTAAGTGGCCCTTGCTCTTTGTGTAATGTTTGGCAGGTTACACAACAATAAAGGTCAGGGATATTCTATTCCATCTGTCTTTGTAAATTGATAGTCTGTATAACGATTTACCTTTATATGAGCACTGGGGTAGATTTTGTTGACTGCGTCACCCGGCTGTCTCCCTGCCTCCCTGTCGAGGTAGTATGACTGGACAAACACACTGTTGTCACTGACACACCGGATCCATACGTCCGTGACACCAAATTTCTATACTTGAGAAATTGTTACACTCTGTCTCCAGTGATTTTTTTCCAAGTCTCCCTTTTACCTAAACATAGTTGCAAAGTTAAGCACAAAAGTTTGACATTTGTCTAAATTCTAGGACAGTTTGTCATGTACCTGTATATAATTACTTATTACTATATTGATTAGAAAATTCACATTTCTTCTGTAATGTACTTTCATGGAATGCTACAATGCAAATATTTATCCACTAACACTATATCTGATGATGTATTTACTTTTTAAAAGCTTATAAAACTTTAATAATATAATGACAATTTAAGGATTAACATAAAAAAACCCATATCGGTTGTAAACATGGGTTGAAATGTCTTGACCAAACTGTTTATGGACCAATCACTGAACAGAACTGTCTGATATTGATTTTGAGATGGACATCTATCCAAGGGTTTCTTATTTCTTGAACAAAACTGAAAAACAGGAAGAAATTATTCTGGTATGTGTCTGTTCTACCAGTCAGGTATATAAATATATCTCTATGTTGTAAATTATGCAGTTTGTTTTCTCTATAGTTTCATATCCCATCATTAGAAATTGAATCCCAAGTACAAAATGCTTCTTATGCGGGTTGACATTACGTTTTTTAACTGTTAAGTACATAGGTCAGTCATTTTTATAACTTGATGTGGTAGAATATTCTGTGTTTGTTTTCTGTCCTCATTCAACATCTTTATTAGAGCAATCAAATTTCCTGTGAATCACAGATTCTTCCAGTTTCAAAATACACCTTATATATCTTCATCACAAAAGAGCTACATGCATTTTGTTAACCCCCCCCCCCCCATTTTATGAAGAAAATATGTTCCTTGCATAATTTAATCCTGTAGTTCATGAATAGAAACATTTTATCAGAAGATTTGCAGTTAGGTAGTACAGCGAATTCACATCAGTTTTATTGTAAAATTTGTAACATAGGCACTCTCAGATGTGTTTAATATAACAAAGTATGTAGAACTTTTCAGATTTGTTAAATCTGTAGGAAATTTAGTATACTTACAAGTGTTTCAATATAAATATGATTTTATCTCTTATGAAGAATATTTCAGAATGATGTTGCTTCATCGTTTCTTATTTACTTCTATTTACTAAAGATGAAGATTTTTACATGAGTTTAAGAACTAGGAGTTTTAGTGCAATATTTTAAGTCACTTTCAATATATTGAAAAATACATTCGTGTGCACAGAATTGGTCTGAACTTTTTTCTCTCAAATATCGCATGATCGAATCACTTTATCATTTTTTTTTTACAATAAAGAAATGAAAATGACATCATTGATTGTTATAATTATAGTGCATACCTTGAATGATTGACATAGTTCTGCCTGCAGTAGTCCTGGAAGGGAATAAACACGGAGTATACATTGATAAATATGATAAGAAAACGCCCCAGGAACAAATAACTAATTCAAATCAGTGTTTTTTAAAGGACATATCCATTTAGAATATATTCAGATAAAAGGCATGAAAAAAGGAAAGGAAAGGTAGTAATAACTTACCCAGTCAGATACTGAAATATTAGGAGCAAAACAGTTTTGTTTCATGACTTACTAGTATTCGGAGGACCCACTTTTCTTTGGGGGGTTAAATTAAACTTACATTACTGTAATATATTCTAAGGGCGGGTAGGAATCGCCCTTAGAAATCTGCCAACCTTTCTCTGCATAAATATATTAACTGTAAAATACTATTGGCGTCAATATTTGACGCGTCATTGTAACTGCGGGAAGGATAATTAAAATGTGCAAAGTCGTGTTGCATTCCTCTCGGTTGTGAAGATTGAAACATATTACGTGTTATTGGTTAACATGGAAACACAGTTGTTTAACATAAATTTTTCCTGTTAATGTCTGGAGACTTGTAATAATTGACAAGACACCGAAGAAAAGCGGGACAGAAATCTATTTAGATAAAAGGTAATCTAGTAGGGTACGTCTTGGGGAAACTATAATCAAAATCGAAAATTGTGCTTCTTGGACGAGGAGGGGGAGGGGGTGGTTAGTAGTTAGGTTCTAACCTTTTCGGCAAGAAAAACTTCTCATAGTATTACATTAACGTGGGAGGATTTGACCATACTGCGAATAAAAGGTGAGCATATGAAGCCTTTTCATAACAACTTTTATTGCAAAACCCTTTTCTAGGAAAAGGAATGACCCCTCCCCCTCTAAAAAAATTTACGTGCCCGAACTCATTTTGTCAACTCTTAATATTAAGCACATCGAATTGTTATGTAACTTCACCGATCATAGATTGCTTATGAAAAGAAAGTGAAGGCGGAGTTTTCCTGTTTACAGATACGTTGATCTCATGAGGGATAGATTTTGACATGCAGGTTTGTCAGTTCAAGTATACATAAAATCATCCCATTCATAATGATTTTTTTTAAGTATTGTATATGAAAATTGTCTACCTTTCATCTAAATGTGTTAACGCCATAGGAATTATTTTGGAAATAACACGAATAAGCACACAAGCACAAGAAATTTGTTTCCGTTATAGGAAGTTATTACTGTTCCAAATTTTACTTTTGAAACAAAACTAAGGCTTACGTATAAACGACTTAATTATTTGATAAATATGCTTACTAAAGCTAGGAAAATATATAATCTTTTTCATCTTCAATTTGGACTTACATATCAGGTAGCTCTTCTCAGATTGATAACGTGTTATCTATTGGGCATGAGTCCTTAATAGACAGTGCCTCAAAAACCCAAGCGCCATTATTATAATTCATCAGTAGCTGGGTACTCTCATTACATATTGTCATACTGAGGAAATCCACATTAAATCAGAGGAAAATAAAGTATAACTATTCATTTTTCAGATATGCACTTTTTGATTATTTCATAATACATCGGAATGAATCACCTACCCCGACTATCAGAGGCAGTCTATGTAGGACTGTGCCGTGAAGTAGGGAGTCCTACCGAAGTGAGGATGAGGAGAGAAGTAATGGACACTGTGGAGGTTGTGAGGAATTCTGTTCGCATGAAAAGGGGATTACACACAATGAAGAGTGGAAGTAGGGGTGAGGGATTCAGAATGAGGTCTTCAGATCTAGATTACATGTTCTGGTATCCAAACCACAAGGTAATCTGTGATCTCTCTCAGATAAGTCTCTATCGTATCCCACAGCAGAGTATGATTCTCATGGAGTGTGATGATTTACCAAATGGATTTACCAGATTAAATCTGTTGAGTCCATCATGTTTTGCAAAAGTTATTTCCTCCTGTGTAGTAATGAATAACAAAGTATGCATTTCAAGTATATTATTCAGGGATAAGCATTTGCAATTATTAAAGACCAGCAATATCGCCGTCACCTCTGTTTTTCCTCATGGGCCTTGTTCTACACATTCCGAATTTCAAGGTTTAGAGATAGACTATGTGTTCTGCTTGCGGTCACATCACTGGCCAAAAAATGCATTACCATGGATACAGAGATGTCGTGAACAAGGTTGGCCAGTCGGGAATGTTTTATCAGATATATTGAGGGAAGGATTCCATGTTGTTCCTATCGGCAGTAAACCTGAAAATGGACTAGAATGGAGAATTTCATTCTCACTAGCAGAACAAAAACTTACTCACTCAATGAATCACTGTCAGTTTTTGTGTTACGGTCTCTTAAAATTTTTTCTGAAAGAAGTAATCAATTGTCAGACAAAGACATCCATTCTTTGCTCATACTTCATAAAGTCAGTTGTATTTTGGGTAATTCAGAGCAATACTTTTGTAATTTGGACACCTGATAACCTTTTGTATTGTTTCTGGGAATGCTTTAAATTATTGATATCCTGGGTACACACTGGAGTATGTCCAAACTTTTTTATTCCACAAAACAACATGTTTCGACTGAAAGTCACCGGTTCTGCACAAACGTCCTTGTTCCGTCAGTTGTATGACTTGTATTGTAAGGGGATATCATGTCTACTATTAAGTGAAACAGTCAGACCTTACCTCAGTATCGCCATTTCAAACAGAACACTGAGAGCTTGTCTAGACGAAAGCAGTATTATATCTAGCATCAAGCTAGATATTAACTTATTCAAAGAATTATCAGTACTTAATATAGAAACTAAGAGAGCTGATGACTTCGCTGTTTACATGAAACTAATAGAGAGAATGCCTAGGAGAGGGTTGACAGAATATCAGACAGTCACATTACAATATTTGTCATCAATTGTGTTACGGAACACGGCCATGTTCTTACAGAGTAGTATATATCAAAATGAAAATAGCAATAGGGCAAGTTATAAAGGCAATAAAGTATCCGCATTACTAAAACAGTCGTGCACGTTTGGTTGTTTATCTGATATTTTGTATCTTGCAATGTACTTCTACAGAAATCGTAGATATGAAGATTCACTAAGGTGTTTACATATAGCACAGCAGAGGATGTCATTGCCGTATATTACGTATTGGGATCATGTTAATGTAGATGTGTACGGACACTGTATGGTAAGGAATACTCTAGGTACTAAGATAAGGAGAGCTCTTGTGGAAGATATTGCACTTTACATGGAGTACACTTACTTTGATGAACTAGTGTTAGAGCAGGAGATAGGCAGGAATAATGAGAGATCACTACTATTGATACCACCCATAGTGATGTTACACATGCTGTTATTTCTAAATCACCACCGACTAGGTGACACCATCAGGTCTCAACAATCATTACTAGATCTACAGGCTTTGCTGCTCCGTGATGTCGGAGTTCATATACCTCGTGAATTCAGAGACGTTTCATGGCAAATACTGGGTATCTGCAAACAAATCTGTGGAGACTATTCCGGATCTCTTCAGTCTTATCAATATTCCTTACAACAGGAACCATTTCACAGGATTCAGAAAGCAACATTGTTAAGAATAAACACACTTCCACATGTAGCAATATGACAGGTTTTGCATGACTGAATTTGTTTATTATACAAATATGGTCCTTTCATGCTCAGTCGATTTGCTTTTCTCTGAAGTCGATATTTTTATAGATTGACCGAATAAAGGGCTACATTTGTAATATTAATTTTTAGAGAGATTGACATCACAACATTTGAAAATAATGAAAGCAAAATTTAAATTTTCATAATATAGAGATCAAATTTTAGTTAGGTAGATTATATAGATAGATTGAGTATAGATAGAGTATTTTACTTTTTATTAATAAGGCTACATTTTGGTTAATTATATGTTGGTTTATCAATTTATATAAAATATATCAAATTTGTTTTAACATAAAGTAGATATATATTCAAGTCATTGTTACATTTTAACAATTATTATAAAATATCACGATATATTACAATATTAAGCATTAAAGTATGTTTTTTTAGAAACATCATTTAAATAATGTTTGCTATGTAAAGTCAACACTGTTATTGTTTTATAGAAGATTATTTCCATTTTTAGAAAGTCGATATGCATTTCAGAATGAATCTATAAACAGTAACACAACTCTACATGCTGTTATATACTTGATCATGTGATCAAATTTTAGCCAATTAGAGAGCTTGGCATAATAGAGGAAAATAATATACATAATTATAATTTATTGTAGGACATTGATATTCATTATTTATTAAGGCTCTACAACGATTTGCGGGTGCCATTTAGTAATCACTCTGTCTGTCTGTCTGTAAATTTGTCCAGAAATGTTCTTTTTTTTCTAATAACTTTTTTTTTATGGTTGTCTGATTAGTTCAAATTTTGTATGTTTGTTGAATGGACAGTAGGACATATTTTGATGTTAAGCTAGGTTCTCTGTCATCCAGTTTGGAGATGGGGTAGTGGGGTAGATTTATGTATCCCCTCAACTCAGAGATATTTCACGGAAAATACTTGGTATCTACCAACAAATTCTTAGCAATTGTTTAGGATCCCTACATTCTAACCAATATTCGTTCGATTGACCACATTTTTTTTTTAAAAAAAAATATTTCATTGTAAAAATTTGATTTTTTTTAAAAGTAACTTTTCTTGCGTTGATGTTTATCTCTTTTATATTTTTATTTGAATTAATTATTTTATTTTGTAATAGTTACATGCTACTGTATACATGTATTTTAATATTTTAAAACAATATGGTATGTTATTTCAAATTGTAATGATGTTCCTCATTTCTGATTTGTTTCGATATAATTTTATATCTTGTTTTATAGATTCATACTCTTTGTGTTTTAAGTGCCCGATCCCTATTGTGTGTCATGGAAAGACATTTGTTGAGAAAAGAAATGATTAAATATTCTTTTTTAACATTTATTCATTTTCTACATAATTCATTTTGTTCATCTGCAATTATATCGTTTTTTCCCTAATCTATTTTAAGGGTCAAGACACATTAAACAACAGTTTTTATTAGGCATGAATCGTGTACTTACCTCAATTTTGGCAAAGAATTTAATCCTTACACTAACAAATAGTCTCATTAAAATGATTTAAATAGTTTTGAGATTAAATCTTTAAAGCGATGAACAATATCAAACATATTATTACAGGCTATAATATACAATACATATATATTATCTCTAAAGATATATTTTTCAGAATATTTCATCAATCGTAAGCAAAAATGAATGATATAATTTGTGACAACTTTTATTCGCGATTTATCAGTTTGAAACCCACTGGCGACGATTGATATTCCTGACTGAGAATATATTTTACATAAATATTCAATTAAATTTATAGTTCGCAGCGAGAAATATTCGCGAGAAAAAGACGGTTGTAAAACTTGCAGATGTATCTCGCACGCGAATAAAAGTTGGGTTTCATAAATTATAATTTCTTATGATTTATAATCCGTATAATGAATTTCAAGCATGCAATGAACAAAAGTAGATATCTGATATTACTCAGTGCTTGTAAGACTTTTATTGCTGTGTCTTTAATTATTCCATTAAGAGGATGGATTCTTGTCTTGTTTCTGACTAGATGAAATATGCAAAGTATATTTGCTTATATGTCTTACACACTTAGATGGAAGGAATTAAAAAGGTCATATTTTTCTTCCCTCATCATAATTTTACAACTTTGAATAGAAATGGTAAACTGAGTTTGAAACCTAGCAGGAACTATATTTTTTGGCGGAACGGTGGCGCATGAAAATATCTCCTTTTCTGCTTCTCAGAATTACTATAGAACAAAATTACTATAGAACAATGAATTTAGTTAAAATTTTTAAACGATCAAAGACTTACAGAAATTTTCAAATGTAAGTAAAATTAATAACAATGGACTGAAGTTTTGAAATATATCAAATAAATATGATTTTCCAAACAAACACAATTTTGTTAGTTTTTAAACATCTAATTACACATTTGAGCAAAAAATCCGTAAAAAGTGTTTTTTCTCTCTTAGTTAAAGGTCAAAACTTTTTGTTTTTGTATCACTTTGCATTTTTATATGACTGCTTTTCTATAAGTGAAAATAAGAAAATTTAAATATACGAAGCATATTAAAATAACTAATATATCTTAATAATTTAAGAAAAATAGAGAAAATTCGGATTAAGCGACATCTATTTTAGTTAAATTATTTATGTCAACTTGGTAGTGTCATCTGATAGACAATATAGACAAAATACTGGTTATTGTCAATTGAATTGTCACAATCTATTAATATCAACTCCTGTAAGTTTTGAGCTGTTTGAACAAAAATTTCTAGGCCTACAATATATGTACAACTTCATTTTTATTTGGATTATAAAAGAGAAGTCTTGCCATATATCAGTATGTATTATATGTTAACACTGTTTTTGTTAGAATTAATGTGACTTCAAATTCCTTCATTTATGAAAAGTATAACATTTTGTCTATCTGTTTTTTTTTTCTTCCAGTCTGATTGATTCTTTTTTTCTTGAGACATGGTTGCACAGTTATGCACAAAAATTTGACATAATCTTCTAAAATTCTTAGACAGTTCAGCAGTGTACATGTATGTAGTATAAGTACTGATTACTTCATATATTATAATTAGCAAATGCTGTAGATTCCTTATTTTACACGAGTACTTAATATTGCGAAATGATTCTTGGACGACAAATCACGAGAATATTAAATCACGAATGGGCAATAGATCTAATGATTTTATATAGATGTCAGCACCATAAAAATAAAAGCGAGAAATTTTTATTTCGCGAATGGAGCTTCTAGGGTATATTTAGGAATCTACAGTATCCAATTCTTCTACTGTGAAGTACTTTTTATTCGAATGTGGTATCAGAATGTTGCATTGTAAATAATTGTTTCTTGGAACAAAACAGATATCGCCAACCCCCTTAACTCCGTCACTACCCTAACTCCGTCACTTTCGGAAACTTCGAGCTGTTTGTAAACGAATGCGATTGTGACGTCATATTTTACATGCTGAAAATCTACAATCAAATGCCGAGATTCTATAACAGTCAAGTTCAAGAATGCGTCAAAAATAAATAACAATTACACGTGATCTATTGTATCTATCATATTTTATATGAAATCAGTAAGTACTTTTACCCTAATGCGCTTTTCCATCGATACCTCCAACATGTGAGTTAATATCCTCAATTTTACATGTCAGTCATATTTATGAAGTTCTTATACCCCCCCCCCCCCGCAATCGAAGTTTAGGGGGGGTTATTGGAATCGGCATGTCCGTTTGTCTGTCTGTAGACGAGATTTTGTCCGCACCATTTCTTGGAAACTGTTTCAAGGATTTGTCTGAAAATTTGTACACTTATTATTCGGCATATGAAGGTGTGCACCTTGTATTTTCATCATGATTGGATAATGTTTTTGCATTTTACAGGTGTTTTTTCATTTTTATTATGTGGTTTTGTCCGGATCTGTTCCCAGAGACTATCGCATAGATTTGTACGAAAATTTGTACACTTATAATTTATCATATGAAGATGTGCACCCGGTATTTTCAAAATTATTTGATATTTTTTCTACATTTTACAGGTGTTTTTTTTTCCATTTTTATTGACTTAGTCATTTCAGGTTTATGTCTAAGGTTTGAGACATAGAATCTAGAACATCTGTACAAAAATGTGAACTACAGCTTAAAACTACTCATTAGAACTAAAAAAAAATCACAAAGTATTAAAAACAGTTTTTACATTACACAGCAGATAGTGTAAATCCATTTGCCCCTTGGAAGTAATGAGTGGATATGCATCGAGTTAAAGATTAATTGATGAGTTCACTGAGGGAAGCTGTTAGGGCATCTCTGATCAAGCAGATCTTATCTATATCTCCTGGGAATTGGGCAGAAAGAAATAAAGATCTTTGTTGTCTAAGTCTCTTAATTTTAATTTATGTCTGTCAAAATACATAGTTACTGGAACCAGCGTTTTATTTTTAAAATGAGTTTGATATAAAGGTATTAAGATCAATTTAATTTTGTATAATTAATTATGATATTTTTTTTTTCAACAATCAATTTGCAGAGTGTCATGTCTCACAAAGATGACAGATAGTTGCAAACTATTTTTTCAATGTAATAAAAAACACGGTAATTATTAGTATTGATGTTTTATCAGGCTACACCTTAGTTTCATTCATTAAAAAATATAATGAGTAACTACATTTTCACTCTAAATGTTTAAGCAAATTGTGAACACCACTCACATCTAGAAAACATTAGTGTATTGGTACCATCTCTGAAAAACCCAGCAGGGGGTATTTGTCCCTTTTGGACAATTCAAGTTTGCCAAAGGATTAATTTGACATACCATATTGAATACGGCTAAAAATATTTATTTTTCATCTCAATTTGCCCTAATATGCTACACGTTGAAGATAACGTAGCGTGACTTTATTACATATAAAATACGTTATAGTAACGTTATTTTTGTTTTGTTGATACTTTTCCTAAAAAACAATTTAATACTATTTTAAATCGTCAAAATCAATTCTTTA